GGGCCTAGTAAGAGAGTTGACCTGCGCTGGTGATTCTTGGCATAGCCAAGGAGGCTGGTAAATGCAGGGAAGCAGTGCAAACAGGAGTGGTGTCAATGGTACTGGGAAGTGTGGAGCACACAGGTAGATTGTGTAGGCAAGGGGCGTCATCAGTCTTGTTGGGAAGCCAGGAACTCACAGGCAAACCGTACTGGCAGGAGCGATGTCAGTGAAGCTGAGGAGCCAGGAATACACAGGAAACTTGTGTAGGCAGGAACGGGGTTGGCATCGCTGAGGAGTCAGGAACAAACAGGTAAGTCGAGCAGGGCTGGAGTGGTGCCAGTGTTGTTGAAGAGTCTAGGGCAAACAGGTAGGTTCAACAGGACAAAAGTACGCTGTTGAGAGTTGGGGAACTCTTCTCAGAGGTAGCAGTAGAGGGCCAAAGGCATCTTGGCAGGATCTGCAATGAACTGGCAACCGAAGAGTCTTTCCCTGCCAGTTAAGTAGGGCAGAGACTAAATCAAAATCAAATCAAATGTTATTTGTATAGCGCCAAATCACAACAAAAGTCATCTCAGGACACTTTACAAAGTAAGGTATAGACCTTACTGTTATCAATATTATTACATAGGGAAAACCCAACAAATCCCCCTTGAGACCAGCTGACCTGATTCATTTGGCTTCATAGATAAATATAACTGAGTATCATCTGCATAGCAATGGAAATTTATGTTGTGCTTCCTGATAATAGACTAATGAGTGAACTATGCCAGGGTACTGGAGAGGAGAATTCGACTGATAGTCGAACCTCGGATTCAGGAGGAACAATGCGGTTTTCGTCCTGGCCGTGGAACACTGGACCAGCTCTATACCCTCTTCAGGGTGGCGAAGGGTTCATGGGAGTTTGCCCAACCAGTCCACATGTGTTTCATGGATCTGGAGAAGGCATTCGACCATGTCCCTCGCAGCGCCCTGTGGGGGGTGCTCTGGGAGTACGGGGTCCGGGGCCCTTTGCTAAGGGCC